GACCGGTATATATAGTTTTAGTATTTATATAATTATATATTTATTTATAACATATATTATAAATTAGAAAAACAAAAATTAAAAAATTCGATGGGTTAACTGATTGATTTCAGTTTGCTTTTGATTTATAAATTTTCAAATCCAAAAATTCGATTTAATTTCAAAAATAAAAAAAAAGAAAAAGAAATCCCACGGTTCAGTCATCCAAACCGTGAACACCCCTAGAATGTATGCACAAGTAATGAAACCCCTATTATCTTTTCATCTCCCACAAAACTATTCGGTCTGCACATATATAAAGCAAAATTGCTACTTGTGCTCCATTCATCAATGTAATCGTAATGGCTGGCCAAACGTATGCAATTGCTTTAAGCCAATAGAAAGTGTGGGCCATAAGTACCGCGTACGTGGGTAGGGGGCCCATTGGAAGGGACAAAGGGTAGGGTGTGCATTGAGAATGATGTATAACATAGAATACATGAGAAATTAATCATGTATAATCATTGTTGCTGCTCGGATTAGCCGAGGGCAACGAGGTAATTCGCCCCCAAGTTCCAAAGGCAGGTTGAAGGATTTGAGGATTCAGAGGAGGGTAAGCCGAGGCTGAGTACCGTAGGTCGAGGCGAGATGCTCCCTTTTGAATATGGTAGAAGCCAAGGATTATAGGTCGCCGTTTCGGTAACAAGGTTGTTGGACATCTGAGGTACTGCAAAACAAGAGATGTCAGAGTTCTCGAGTAAAGACCCGAGGCGGAGACTCTGACGCCCAAGTTAGTACGTGGTGTAAGGTGGGGGAAGGTGCAGACGAGGTCTCGATGGTGATCCTCGGATGCACTAGGTCCCCAGGAGTAAATGTTAATGAAGTGAGGTAGGTATAAGAATTTAATTCAAGGCACTGGAAGTAAATGCGGGAGCTATATCAGAATTCTAAGGTTTGGATCCCCTGTCAAGGGAGAGTTGCCTCATATTTATACTTGAGTGGGCTGGAGGCAGGTGGAGATGAATGCACCAGATTAGAGCCGTACGAGGTCCTTGCGAGTACGCCTAACTGCTCCACGGATGACTTCATACAAATGCAGCAGAACTCCCCCTGCTGTGGCTGGCGCTATCAGGCGTTAGTGGGCTGGGCCTCTCAGCCCGTAATGGGTTGGGCTTGGCTAGCTCACATCACTTGCCCCCCACTCCCGAGGCCGAGGTAAGGTCTTGACTTCGGCTAGCAATGGAGATGATAGTCGAGGTAAGGCCTCGGCTTCAGTCGTCGGGAGTAACGATTGTTATGCCTTCGGGCTCCTCAACCGAGGGGTATTCTACAATGGCGTCGCTTTCACTTCATATGCGTCTTCCCTCCTCATCAGTTCGGAGATGCGCATGGACTGGATGCCTCAGGTTAGTGGGGATGGTCCGTGTCACGTACGTTCATGTCACGTTAGGGGTCCACCATGTGGAGGACAGTCACCCAGATAGGCGCGCATTTGTCGGGCTGAGCCGTTCGCCCGGTGGGTTGCGATGGGTGAGCCTCACAGTTCACCTAGCGGGTTGCTGCGGGTGAGCCTCACAGTTCGCCCAACATCGTTTCATCTTTTGAGGGTACGTGCCGAGAGGTGAGGTATACCTAGTTCGCAAAAGCGGAGGGTCCTTGCGACCGTCGGATTTGTAGTGATCTGAGCCCGTTGCTTGGGCGTCGTTTCGTCTTTTGGGGGCGAGTGCCGAGTGGCTCGTTATGGTTGGATGGTGGAAGTGGAGGTAACTTAGCTGTCAGATCCAACGAGATCTGGGCCGTCCATTTTCCTTTAAATAGGGGCCCTGGTGGTGACTTTCCCTGTCATTTGAACTTAGGCACCCCTGTTGTTGAGTGAAATCAGCTCCTAGGTTCTCAATCCTTCAAGACACCTCATCTTCACCTTCCTCACCATCTAGGTAATTCACAATGTCTTTCTCAGACTCTAGCCCTAAGTGCCATGAACTCCCGTACACCTCGGGAGGGAGCTCTCCTCAGACCCCTTCCCCTCTCTCTTGGTTAGGTTCCCTAGGCATTGCCCCTCTTCAGTAGGAGATAGCGGTACTAAGGGAAAGGGTAGCCTCTAGGGGCACCGAGGGCTACCACTAGGGCAATGACTCTCCCCATGAAAGCGCTACGTTGGCATCGCCGAGGGAGCCCGAAGGGTCTCCTCTGGCCGACGAGGAAGATGCTACAATGCTCACCGTTGGACCGGTGGAAGGGAGCACTTCCCGAAGGGTGGCTGACGCTGATGTCCCATGCTCGGAGTTTGACAGCTTCTTAGAGGTGGGCCAGGTCAAATCCCTGGCAAGGAGATTCCACATACCCAAGTCCTATGATCTTAGGGTTCCCAACGTAGGTGATTGTCCATGGACCCCTAACTACGGGGAAATCTGTATTTACCAACACTTTTTAAAGTCTAGCCTTAGGTTTCCCCTCCCTTCTTTAGTCTTTGAGTTACTGGAGTGGTATGATATCACTATCAGTCAACTCATCCCCAACGCCCTTAGGACCATCATAGCGATGTTGGTGTGGGCTTGGCTTCGGGATGTGGAGCTGACATAAAAAATGTTTCGTGCCATGTTCGCGCCGAGGAAGCACACTTCTAAGGCTAACATGTACTACTTTCATCCTTGGAGAGGGAAGCTAGTGCACAACCCCTCGTTCGCCCACGGGTGGAAGGGAAAATTCTTCTATGTCTCCTGCCCCGAAGGTTGGAGGTTCAGGTCTGACTAGGGGGAGGCCTATGTAGTTGTCGAAAGATATCCCCCTCTGCTCCGAAACGAGGAATCTGCTACCGTGGCTCATCTTCTTATGATGGGGACAATGCAGGCAAAGCCATTGGTGGAGGAGGAGGTTCCCCTAATGTTCGCTAGGATTAGCCCTACCCCCTTTGGTAGGAGAGGTTTTGTTGTTCGTTTAGGAAGAAGGCTGGGGCACAAATGTCGAAGTGGCCCGATGAAGAGGTTGTCCCCTTGTCTCAACGAAGGGGGGAAATCAACAAGTCCTCACTAAGGGGAAACAACCGGTGGTGGTGCCTCAGGAGCTCGCCGATGGGGTCAAGAGGCCCTCGGAGGGGGCCAAAAAATCATCAGAGGTGCCGGTGAAGCCAGCCAAGGGGGCCGAGGTACCGAAGAGGCCCACAGAGGGGGCTGAGACAGGTTAGAAGAGGCCCGCCGCAGACACGCCGAGGGACGAGCTGCCACAGAAGGTGGCCAACGCTGAATGCCCGATCGAAGATGTGGCAAGGAGACCTGCACCTGGGGAGGATCAATTGGGCCTTCTTCAGCTCCGCCATCAGTGCAGGGGCTCCCCGAGAGAGCCGATGGGGCCGAGGTAAATTCATCCCCAAGTTCCGAAAGCAGGCCGAAGGCTTTGAGGATTCAAAGGAGGGTAAGCCGAGGCCGAGGACTACAGGCTGAGATGAGATGCTCCCTTCTAAATACAGTAGAAGTGGAGGACTACAGGTCATCGTTTCGGTGACAAGGTTCCTAGAGATCCAAGGTATTACAAAACAAGAGATGTTAGAGGGCTTGGGTGAAGACCAAAGGCGGGGGCTCCGATACCCAAGTTAGTACGAGGTGTAAGGTGGGGGAAGGTGCAGACGAGGTCTCGATGGTGGTCCTTAGATGCATTGGGTCCCTAGGAGTAAATGCTAATGAAATGAGGTAGGTGCAAGAATTTAATTCAAGTCACTAGAAGTAAATGCGGGAGCTGTATCAGAATTCTGGGGCTTGGATCCCTTGTCAAGGGAGAGTTACCTCATATTTATACTTGAGCGGGCTGGAGGCAGGTGGAGATGAATGCACCAGATGAGAGCCATACAAAGTTAGGCAACAGGTCCTTGCGAGTACGCCTAACTGCTTTGCGGTTGGCTCTGTACTAAGGCAGCAGGACTCCCCCTGCTGTGGCTGGCGCTGTCAGGCATTAGTGGGCCAGGCCTCTCAGCCCGTAATGGGTTGGGCTTGGCTAGCCCACATCACTCATCAATCATCATCAAATTCAACATTAGTTAAGGTGGGATTTGTTATTTCGCCCCGGGCATTCTTTTTTCAGATTTTGAGAGGAGTAAAGTTGATTAATGGGATTTTGGTTCCCATTGACCAGGAATCTCATTTTCTTTTCTCATAATTATGTGGGGACTAGGGAAAGTTCTCCTAGGTGGGTAAATAACTTTCCCACCTAGGGGAAAGTTTCAACACTTGAATGGGACAAAAAAAGGTCATGAACTTATTTACATGGCTAATGGATTTTTATGGGAAGTTATTGCCCTTTTTAATAATAGATTTTTATGGTTAAAATGGCCATTACCTTATTTACATGAAAAATAAAAGAACAAGAGTAAATGCATTTACCCGAGTAAGTATTTCCCAAGAAAAACTTTCCCAAATAACTACATTTACCTGGGTAAGTAACTTACCAAAAAGCGAACAAGGCCTTCCTTTCATTATAATAAATGTTTCAAATCTAAACAAATGTTCAAATGGTCAATGAGAGGTTCAAATTCTGGTACTTTACAGTGGTTGAGGAAAATGAAACTTTTGCATAATGCCATGCAGCCAAACTGGGCAAAACATGATGGGCTAATTGTGTAGCAAGTCATGATGGGCCACCTTGTCAATCTACAGCCGTTATGTTTACTGGTGGGCTGGGTTAGGACGAAGCTACATCAAAATGTAGTAATGCGCAAGTCCACAATTATGTGGATTGATCAAGTTCCCCTACGAGCTAGAACCAATTAAAACAGGTCTTTTGTATGAAGACTGAAGAGGAGGTTTATATATTGGTGATCTCTGGTACAAATTTGGGCAAAAACAGATTGTAGCTTTTCAATAGAGAAAAAGAAATTTGGTCTGAAAAGGATAATCCCGCTTATTTAGCCAGTAAGGAAGCATTAGAAAAAGATGAAAAAGCAACATCACATGCATAAAATAAATATTTGGTTTTTGGCTAGGCTTGACTGGTATGAATTACATACCCTTGTTAATGTGCCACCGAATTGGTTATCCAAAAAATAGACATGGACGAGGATATAAATCAGCATTTTATGCATCATTTGCAGAAAACTCTGTTGACCTGCTTGTTGAGTTATCCAGCAATGGCTTTTCTGGCTCCATTTTACTCTGCATAAAGTACGCAGGTGCTGAAGGTGATGGAAGTGTGACGGAGTAGCTATTGAACATGAGAACAACTGAAGCCATGGTGGGTCTGTCAACTACATCTTCTTGAACGCATAATAATCCAATGTGGATGCTTCTCATGACTTCACTTGTTGAAAAGCTTTCTCTCAGAGTTGAGTCCATCAACTGTAGAGCTGTCCCTTCATTCCACAGTCTCCATGCCTGCACAATTCATCACCAATTAACCACAGAAAATTGATCACCTTGATGCATGCATGTAGAAGATTGAAGTCCTAAAGTCCTAAACTAAACAATACATGTCTTGAACGAAACCAGATCTCCTACACTTTTTAAGATTGGTCAATGTCTCAAACATTAGCTAAGGCTCAAGTGTATATATGATACCGGAAGAACTTTGACCAGTAAGAACCAACCCCCTTTAGATTTTGATGATTCTTTTCATTCGTTGGTGTGCTCATCAGTGTAAGGCGCAAGTGTAGGAGATCCCGATCGACTGTTGTTACTAGAGAAGCACGTAACACTAGTTTTCATACTTACATAGCTAAGGAGGTCCTCTGTGCGCTGTGATTGACGGAAATAGTTGTTCCTCTGGCCGCTCACTATTTCCAGAAGTAAGACACCAAAACTGAAGACATCTGACCTCACTGAGATCTGCCCGTGAATTGCGTACTCTGGAGCCATGTATCCACTGCATTCCATCTCAAACCATTGAGTCTCTGCCTAGCTCAGGGACAAGTACAGAAGGATTTTGAATTAACTGTGTTCAACCTTCAACTAATTCATTTTCTCAACGCTTTAGTTATATTATTTCTCTTCATTGTTTATGAAGACTAGCTTGATTTTTTCTGCATTCCACACCTACCCCAATAAGGAAAAAAAAAAAAACAAACAAAATTAAGAAGAAATGGAATAAACTCAAACTCTCGATGACCGTGACACTCCAGAAGGTATTAAGTGATCTCAATAACACCAAACAGTTTCTTGAATATTAGCCCTCAAGTAATCTATTTGTCTACTTTGGTGTTTTAACTTACTATGTACCGACTATCGTACTGGTATTAGTTTGGGTTTGGTCCTCCACTAGGAACAGCCTTGCCATGCCAAAATCAGAAATTTTTGGGTTCATCTCTGCATCTAATAAAATATTGCTAGCCTTGAGATCCCGGTGAATAATCCGCAGACGAGAATCTTCATGAAGATAAAGAAGTCCTCGAGCAATTCCTCCTATAATTTTGTAACGCTTTTCCCAATCCAATAATGCACGTCTCTCTGGATCTATATTGATATGAAAAACAGAATAAGTTTGTAGTTATTGGATATGTAGCATCAAACATTAGGGACTAAATACTGGCAATATTTTTCTTTTCTATATATTCTTGATTTTACAGGATAGACGACAAAAATGATACAAAGTATAGAGATTCTATACTTTAATTAACAAAGGTTGGTAAAATACTTTTTTCATTAATATTTGCTTTTGTTGACTTTAAGGCTCAGTTTGGAAAGAATAAATGCATATAAGGTAATACAAAATACAAGATTTTACACTTGGCATATATGTATTTGTACTCTTCCCAAACTGAGCCTGTATTTTAATAAACAGTCAGATTTTGCTCTCTTTCTTGGGCATGTCACATGTGAAGTGAAAAAATGAGATAAAGAAGTCTCATTGTGATTCCAGGGCAAGCATTTATGCCCACAAAAGATCTAATAATTTTCTCCCTATTGTGCTTCTAGAACCTTAAACAGGCCTAATAAAATATTATATATTAGTGGTATAAATTATAGGGTTATTAAATTAAGAGTTGACAACTACTCAAGAATTATCATTTCTAATCTTAATCGGTATTAATTATTTAAAAAGTTAAAATATAACACAATCCCCCAATTGTATATTATTATATGTTTCCATTTTAACTTTCACTTAACAAAATTTGGGCATCGTATGGGTATCCCACTAATTATCATATCTAATGTTAATTACTATTAATTAAATAATATACATAAATTTATTGAAAATGTTATTGCAATGTCTGTTTTTCATGTTGCCAACACAAGATCCTATTTTGTTTTCTAGTTTGGTAATGATACTATATATGGCGGAAATATTGATAAAATCAAAATCATTTGGCCTAAGAAATATTCTTTATTATAAAATTGAAAGGTTGGTAAAAGGAGATAATCTAATCATGTTGACTTTGCCATATTAATCTCCTAGGTGATATTCATTTAATGGCCTGTCTACATCTCCGGTACGTGGAAGACTCAAGACTTGATCATGACGCTAGCCAGCACACGGTTTGAAGGAGATGATGAGGTTTGTGTTTTAATTATTTGAAAATAACTGAATAAAGGATACTTAGTTGCAGCTATATATGTATTTCAATTCAAATGGAAAGGCAGGAGATAAAAGGAGAACAAAAATTAAAGAAGGTTAAATGGAGTCAAACCAAATATAAAATTATCAAGGCTTGTGTTTGGCACAAGTTCATATATGAGCAGCTTTTCTTCTCTTTCCAAGCAGAACCCCAAGAGCCTAACGAGATTCCTGTGTTGAAGCTTGGCTACCAATGAAACCTCATTCTTGAATTCTATTTCTCCCTGTCCTGAATTTCTTGAGAGTCTCTTCACGGCAATTTCTTGTCCATCAGGTAGCTTGCCCTGAGCATGTAATTTTTTATGTCAAATCATCTGAACTTGAATTTAATACATATTATTGACACAAAATTAAGTAAATTACAGGCTGGTGCATGGACATTAACATTTCTATTATCTTATTACCTTGTAAACAGGACCAAATCCACCCTGTCCAAGCTTATTAACCTTTCTATCATCAGAAAAGTTGTCTGTAGCAGTTCTTATTGTATCAAAGTTGAATTGCAAGGATTCCACATTTCTTATCTCGTCCAAATCTTCAAAAGAAAATAATAGAGAAATGAATCAAATTTGTCATACAGCTGAAGCAATTCCATGAAAGGAGATCCTTTTCTTGTTGCTTAATTTTTCTCTCAGTACTGCTACGACTGAGGGTGTGATTTTAGTTGGCCACAAGATTCCTTATTGATTGAGCCAATTGATTCCAGGAAAAGGAATGCCTTCTAACTATTTATCTTCATCCACTCATTAAGCATGTAGATCACTATTCAAGGGAAAGAGATCGAATCAGTGTTCACGATCTCTGAAGCTTGTGATCTCTGAAAGAATGGACCAAAATGTGATCTCTGAAGCTTGTCTTGGTAGCTCAGTGTTCACGATTAATCATTTCCTCTCAGATATCGATTCACAAAAACATGGATACTACAATAATCTTTGAATAATACAAGTCTTGTAGCTACTCACCTTTAACTCTATCCTTGGATCGACGTCTCCTCCTTCGTAAATAGAACCATACTATGGACAAAATCATAACAGCTGCAACTATTGGAATGATGATGGTAATGATAAGTTGAGAAGAATTCCCCCCTTGCCCTGCAAAAAAATAATTTGAGGTTGATCAGGTTCCTGAATCAATGTTGAGTTCTGGATCTAGAACCAACTGAATAGGTGTTAGCTAGGTAGCTAGATCAATATAATGAATATTTTGAACAGCTTTATGAACGCTTTCGGTACAGGGCTTCAAAATGTCTGGAATGTTCACCAAGGGTATGCTTTAAGATGGAATTTATACAAATTAAAGCACTAAAAACCATAAAATTTGTGATCAAAATCAATAATAATTTCCGAACAGACCATGTAACTGTTGTATTCTGAAATTACATTTTGGAGATACAAGATGAATGTGCATAGAATAATCAGGACTATCAGCCCAAATACCACACTTCACAAGAGCTGGACTTTCCCAAGAGAAATAGTTTGATGATATTAGACCATGATCACTGCAATAATTGACCACAAAAGGGTTTTCTTCATGACTTGAATCTACTTGCATTAATTCCTAAATCATCAGGATATCTATAGCCAAAGTATAAAATTTCAACAAGGAAGATGCATACTATGGAAATAGAAAAAAAATGATTCAGAAACAAAGAATTTCGATAGATGCCACTGGATTTTGAGTTTTGAGTAATTAAGAATGGTTATCATATGTTGCATCGTCTGTTTTTTCATAAAAGATCCCAAGATCAAATACTAACCTCCTGTAGTCGTTATTGTGGTTATTGGTGGAAGTGGTGAAGCCACAGATGGTGGTGAAGCTGGTGCATTAGGCTTTAACTGATAGAAAGGGTAGATCTCATACCGAATATAACAACTTGGTCTAAGAACTCTCCCACCTTGTTTACCATTGCAACATCTTGGAATGTCACTAACAGCCCCTGTTAGGCATATGTTACAGTCAGTGTCAGATATATCAGGAGTGCACTGCACTAGCCCATATATCTTGAGAAAACTCGTGAAGTTTGCTTCTCCAGTAGCAAACATTCCCGTAGAAGGGTCGAGGGCAGCTCGTCTCACAAGGCTGTTCATTAAATCTCCCAATATCTGATTAAACCTATCTGGGTTTGTAATGTTATTTATATTCAGTAGGGAAACGCCTGGAATTTGCTGCATAGTGGAGAAGATTGATTGGTTTGAATACCGTAACAAACACAGATCATACCATATAATTGCCTCTTTCTTGTTGGGACAGCGTTGCATGATCTCTTTGCTTGCAGTGATTACACAATTCTGACAGACTTCTGAAGTAACATCGCCTTCGCAAAGAAAGAGGCCATAGGCTATATCGGGGTTAAGGCCGGCGGTGGTATTGTAAAATCCATTTTGCAGTGCGGCATTAGAGGACAGGGAGGAGAGGAGAAGGTTGAGGTTGGTTTGATATGTGCTATTACTAGTGTAGTTCCCTCCAAAACAGAAGTGGTATGTATAGTTTGGCTGCTGGGCAGAGCTAAGCCCCAAGCGTATGAGAATCAGAGACACGAGGGGTATCAAACATTGCAACTGCATTTTTATTGCTCAAGTTTGTGAAAATCATGAATCTGTGGTTTCATGGACATGGAGAAACGCTTTTAGTTTTTATTGCAGGCATATATATATATATAGGCATGATTTTATGATGAGTAAACATCTTTGGGTTGCTTAGGTCATTGGGCTAAGGATTATTTGATTCTTAACTTCCTGCTGTATGACACAAACAATGCTTAAGACAGCCTTAATTAATTCATCATGAGAAACTACTGCTGCAACGGTGTTTTGCGAGTTGCGACCCCTCAATAAGAAAACCCGACGCGCCAGTAATTTTTTCTTGAACTATATTCAAAATATATATTGGAATGATATATCTGGCACCGTATCTTAGTAGAGCTAGGATTGGAAACAGTGCAGCAACCATATGGGCTATGGCCAGATAAGATGCAAACTCTTAAATAAAATTTCTATTCTGTAATCTTGCCAAAATAAAATAAAATTTCTCTTCTGTAATCTGTACCAGTTCACACTCTTGTGCCTCGTTTGGTTCATGGAAATAGGGATCTAGAATTGGAATCCGATTGGGCTAGTCCGATTCTAATTGTTTGGTTGGATAGAATTGAAACCCCATTTTCATTCCTGCTGGAATAATGACATTCCTCCATTTGATTCTCTGTCTCTCCCTTGGGAAAGAAATTCCATTTCTGCTGATTTTAATTCTCATTCCCATTCCTGTCTGAATCAAACAGAATATGGGAATGAATCATTCCGATTCCTAGTTTGGAGAATTTCGATTTTGATTTCAATTCTAATTTTAACTGCAAATCAAACGGACCCTTAATTAATTATTTTAAAGTTTTCAAAATTATTAATCAAATTGTTTATTTGTCATCTGGCAACAAGTTAACATTGTGTTGAATGCAATGGAAAATTTCAAAAATGACGTAGCGGGGAAGCGTGTTACGTGTAACAGTGTACAAAGAGTACTTTCTTTTTCTAAAGAGAAGCCTTGAATCTAATATGAGAAAAAAATATAAAAAAAAGAAAACTAGGGGATAGTTATATTCTAGTCATTGAAGTTGATTATAAAATGATTTTATTCATATCCCAACCTTTAATAGTTAAGTTAAAGGAATGCAGCATGATCTCATGTTCTTCTGTTTTTGAGCTTTTATCCTAACTTTAAATAGGAACATTATTAAAAAGAGTATATTTTTTTTATCTCACTTGGACTCGTCAAACCATCAAATTTTAATGAAATGATGAAAGTAATAAGCTGTAGCTTAAAAGAAATTAAAACCAATAAGATGCAAAATTTACTGTCCAAGGAATTATATTAACTGCTACAAATTTTAAATTCTCTTTTTTCTGTTTTCATAAAATTCTTATTATTTTTTTATAGAACTCAACCTCGATAATAATAGCCAATGTTTTAAAAACCAATCCGGAGATTGAATCATTTTTGCCTTTGCGTAGTGGGTCATTGGTTTGACCATCCAGGTGGAACGAGTCAGACCGTTCCACATGTATTTAACATATATAATGTATAATTAATATATATATATATATATTATATTTGTGAGTATAAATATATATTTTATCAATAAATAATGTATAATTATGTTTTATATATGTTATATGTATTTTTATATTCAATTTATATTTTTTAATTTAGTTTTTATTTTTTTATTTATAAAAATATTAAAAATTACAATTTGAGGACAAAAGTGGTTTTTTCGCAAAAATAGCAAGCAACGCATAGATCTTGAAAAGTTACCAAAAAAAAAAGATCACCCCAATTAGACATGAGAGTGTAAAGTCATGGCCTCCAAAGTTTGCATGTATTGAGTATGCAACTCACGATCCGATGGCCAAGTCAAACAGGTCAATGGTTGAATTGGCTAGGTCGGGTGATTCTTGACCAAGTCAACGATTTTTTACTATCTTACATGTTTTGACTGAATCGGACCCGAAATCCTGATCGGGCAATGGTTCGAACAATTCAATCAACCGAGTCAATGGTGGGTTGAAAACACTGATAGTAACTATATGGATATTTTGGACATTTTCAGGCCTCATTTTAGAGGATTCTAACATTGGGTACTTGTAAATGTGTAAGAGAATTCGGGGAAGGTGATTGACATTACCAAACTTCAAGAATGGTTTTAGCAATGGTCCAAAACTTCAAGGGGGAGGTATCAGCAATTTATCCTTTTGAATATTTTGCATCCGTTCATCAACCTAAACAAAAGCTTCCATACAAATTTCAGACCAGACATTGAAGTTTGAGTCTGATTTCTAGTGGGGCTGCCTTGTATTGAAAATATTACTGTGAAAGGCGGTCATTGTGATTATATTAACAAAGATTTCATTTAGTGGGTGTTTTCTTCTCTAGATTTTGAGAGGGGGAAAGTTGGTCAATGAGAACCAGGAATCTCATGTTCTTTTTTCAGATTTAAGTGGGGATCAGGAAAAGTTTATTTTCTTAGATATCATTGACCCATCTAATAGGTGGATAAATAGCTTTCCCACTGTGGGGGAAAAGTTGCCAACACTTGAATGGGACAAGAATGTCCCTTGTAATAATGAATTTTTATGGCTAAAATGGTCATTGTCTTGTTTGCATAGGAAATAAAAGAACATGGCTAAATGCATTATAGGATGGGTAAATGCACTATACCATGCTGCATTTACCCATGTTCTTTTATTTCTTTTGTAAATAAGGTAATGACCATTTTAGCCATAAAAATCCAATATTAAAAGGGGCGTTTTTGTCCCATTCAAGTGTTGTAAACTTTCCCCACAAGTGGGAAAATTATTTACCCACCTAGGAGATGGGCATCACTTAACTGGCTAAATGATAATCAGGAAACTATGGTTCTCATACACCTGAAAAAAAAAACATGGATTTTTTGGTCAATGAAAAAAAAAAATCAAAATCCTATTAATTAACTTTCCCTCTCTCAAAATCCAGAAAAAGAACGCCCCTTAAATTATTTAATTATTTCAATATGATTTACATGCACGCAAAATAATTCTGAAACAAATGTAAAATTTCAATAAAATTTATCACGCATTTGTTAGAAACGTTTTCACACGGGAAGAGACAAATCGGCCGTACGGTGTACAAGCCCAGCTAGCAGCACCATACTGTATCATGCGGATGCTTTTTTTTTTTGGGAAAATTACTACAAAGGGCATGGTGATTGCATTAAAAGCTTTAAAACTCCCGTTACAGAAATGGGCTACTTCATACTTGCTTTGTAAACCATGATGGGGGTGGTCAGTTCTCCAGCCTTTTGGTGGGCTGAGCCAAGAAAAAGCTACATCCAAATGTACAGGTCCAAAAAAGAACTGGTCTTTTTATATGAAGAGGTCACTGGTGATGTCTGCACAAAACTTTTTGGCGTTTTTCAATAAAGAAAATTTTGTTTATTTCATCCTCTGAAAAGCCAGAAGGCTAATTTCAGAGTGAGAGGAGGCCAACAGATTGGCTTCCAACAAATGATGAATACAAATCAAGATATACAAAGAATGAATCCAATGGACCTGACTTAATCTGGACCAAGTGATGGGCCAAAAACAAATAAGGAAGCAAGCACTAGGAAAAAAAGAAAAAGCAACATCACATGCATGTCATATGTATTTGGTTTTTCTGTAGGCTTGACTGACATGAATACAACCTAGTTAATAATGAACCTCTGAACATTAAGGTTATGTTTGGTTTTAAGGAAAATGTAGGGAAAGGAGGAAAACCTATACAAAATTTGTAAAGGTTTCCCTACCTTTTCCTACTTTTTCCTTCAAACTAAACATAGCCTAATTTGTAATTGACGATCCAAAAAACAAACATCAACGAAGATATAAATCAGCATTTGCAGAAAACTCTGTTGACCTGCTTGTTGACTTATCCAGCAATGGCTTTTCTGGTTCCATTTTACTCTGCAAAAAATACGCAGGTGCTGAAGGTAATGGAAGAGTGGCGGAATAGCTACTGAGCATGAGAACAACTGAATCCATGGTGGGTCTGTCAGCTACATCTTCTTGAACGCATAATAATCCAATGTGGATGCATCTCATGGCTTCACTTGCTGAAAAGCATTCTCTCAGAGTTGAGTCCATCAACTCTAGAGCTGTCCCTTCATTCCAGAGTCTCCATGCCTGCACAATTCATCACCAAGTAACCGCAGAAAATTGATCACCTTTGTATAGAATATTGAACTCCTAAACTTAACAAAATCCTTTCCTTTGTAGACTCAAAAATCCAAGTCAAGTTTCACCGTATAAGAGAAGCAACCAAAACAAATTTTCACACTTACATAGCTAAGGAGGTCCTCTGTGCGCTGTGATTGATAGAAAGAGTTGTTCTTCTGGCCTCTCACGATTTCCAGAAGTAAGACACCAAAACTGAAGACGTCGGACTTCACTGAGATTTGCCCGTGCATTGCGTACTCTGGAGCCATATATCCACTGCATGTGGCCATCTTAAAATTAGCAAATCATGAAGAAGAAGAAGAAGAAGAAGAAGAAGAAGAAGAAGAAGAAGAAAGGCTAGCTTGAATTTTCGTGTTGAAACTTACTATGTCCCAACTATCCTACTGGTATTAGTTTGGGTTTGGTCCACTCTGAACAGCCTTGCCGTGCCAAAATCAGAAATTTTTGGGTTCATCTCTGCATCTAATAAAATATTGCTCGGTTTGAGATCCCGGTGAATAATCCGCAGAGGAGAATCTTCGTGAAGATAAAGAAGCCCTCTGGCAATTCCTCTTATGATTTTGTAACGCTTTTCCCAATCCAGTAATGTGCACCTGGCTGGATCTATATTGCCATGAATAACAGAACAAGTTAATAGGTAGGAGATATTTCCAGCTATGTATTTCAAATGGAAAGGTAGAAGATAAAGAATTAGAAGGCTAAATGGAGTCGAACCAAATATAAAATTGTCAAGGCTTGTGTTGGGGACAAATTCATATATGAGTAGCTTTTCTTCTCTTTCCAAGCAGAATCCCAAGAGCCTAACGAGATTTCTGTGTTGAAGCTTGGCTACTAATACAACCTCATTCTTGAATTCTTTCTCTCCCTGTCCTGAATTTCTTGAGAGTCTCTTCACAGCAATTTCTCGTCCACCAAATAGCTTACCCTGTAGCCTTTTGAGCATGTCAAACCATTTTTGAACCGTCTCAACTTGAATTTAATACATATTTACATAAAAAGTAAATTAAAAGCTGTTGGACACATTAACGGTGTTATTATCTTATTACCCTGTAAACAGGACCGAATCCACCCTGTCCGAGCTTATTCGCTTCAGAGAAGTTATCTGTAGCAATTCTTATTGTATCAAAGTTGAATTGCAAGGATTCCTCACTTGTTATCTCGTCCAAATCTTCAAAAGTAGCTGATAGAAATGACTCATGCATATAAAAAAATGTCATAAGAAGAAATTCAATGAAAGGAGATCCTTTTTTTTTTTTTTTCTGGTTGCTTAATTTTTGTCATGGATACTACAATAAATCTTTGAAGAGCAAATCATGTAGCCACTCACCCTTTACTCTGTCCTTGGGTCTCTTCCGTCGTAAACAGAACCATACTATTGACAGAATTATAACTGCTATAGCTGTTGGAATGATGATGACAATGATCAATTTAGAAGAATCCCCCCCTTTTCCTGCACAATACAAAATAATTTCAGATTGATCTTGCTTATGAATATGGAGTTCTGGAACTGAGACCAACTGAATAGGTGTTATAAGGATAAGTACTATAGAATGTAAGGTTTGTGATCAAAATCCATAGAAATTGGCCAAGTTAAGCAGATAATGGAACATTTCTATTCTGAAATTACATTTTGGGGGTGTAGGCATAGAATCAGGTTTGTTTACCAACAACGTATTAGGGTCCACGCTTCACAAGAGCTGAAATTCCCATGTGAATTAGTTAGATGACATGATCACTACACTAATTGCCCAAAAAAAGTCAGTTTTATTTATGAATTAGTGACTTGAACCTACTTGCATTCCTAAAGCAGGATATCCATAGCCAAAGTATTAACTTTCAACAAGAAACATGCTATAGAAACAGAAACAACAATGAGCACCAAAGAAATTTGATGTTTGCCATTGTGATCACAGTTACTATTCTTAAATTATAAATCTTGGGGTTTTGAATTTTGATTAAGAATAGATAATGAAAAGAAATTCAAAAAAAAAGAAAAAGAAGAAAACATGTTGCATCCTTTTGCATAAAAGACCCCAAATCAAATATATACTTACCCACAGATGGTGGTGATGAATCCGGTGCATTAGGCTTTAACTGATAGAAAAGATCGATCTCATACCGAATATAACAACTTGGTCTGAGAACTCTCCCACCTCGCTTACCATTGCAACATATTGGAATTTGACCAACAGCCTCTGCTAGGCATATATTACAGTCACTTTGAGATATATCAGGAGTGCACTGCACTAACCCGTATACCTGCTGAAAACTCGTGAAGTTTGCTTCTCCAGTAGCAAACATTCCCGTAGAAGGGTCAAGGGCAGCTCGTCTCACAAGGCTGTTCATTAAATCTCCCAATATCTGATTAAACCTATCTGGGTTTGTAATATTATTTATATTCAGTAGGGAAACGCCTGGACTTTGCTGCATAGTGGAGAAGATTGATTGGTTTGAATACCGTAACAAGCACAGATCATACCATATAATTGCCTCTTTCTTATTGGGACAGCGTTGCAGGATCTCTTTGCTTGCGGCTTCTACACAATTCTGACAGACTTCTGAAGTAACATCGCCTCGACAGAGGAAGAGGCCATAGGCTGTATTGGGATTCAGGCCGGCGGTCGTATTGTAAAATCCATTTTGCAGTGCAGCATTAGAGGACAGGGAGGAGAGGAGAAGATTGAGGTTGGCTTGATACGTGCTATTACTAGTGTAGATACCTCCCAAACAGGAGTGGTATGCATAGTCTGGCTGCTGGGCAGAGCTAAGTCCCAAGCGTATGAGCATCAGACACACAAAGGGTATCGACCATTGCAACTGCATTTTTGTCGCCTAAGTTTGTGAAAGCATGAAGTTATGTTTTTATGGAGAAACTTTTAGCTTTATCACAGACCCAGGGTTGATTTGCATTGTTTCAGTGCCACCGCTGAAGACAACCTTCATATTTTGAAAAAACATCTGCTGCGGCCGTGTCTTAAGACTGCTTTTCTTAAATTCAAAGCATTTGAATTTAAATTATTTGTATGCTTCTTTCTTTTTTGTTAATTTCGTTTGGTAACTGGCATGTCCATATGTCATTGGGGGGGGGGGGTGTTGCAACCAAAGTCACAGGTGAGGTAAACTCTTAAATTCTTCTATCTGAACTTTTTCAAAACTAACCAAATTGTTTATTTGGGAGTTTGACATGTGATCTGGCCACAACAATTTGACATTGTCAAAGCTGTGGAAAGTTGGAAAAAGTTAAACAACAAAAGAAAACAATAATGACCGCAGTGAGCTTGTCCAGTTGCAGTTGAGCTAAATAATATATATGACTTGGTTGACGTACGTAGAGGAGCCACGACCTGTTCCTACCCTCCAGCCACTGCTGTATCTGAGCCGGGGTGGCTCGGTTCATAGGAGCTGAGTCTGATCACAAGTTTTATTTTTCTCTAGCTTCCGAGCATATTATGGGTTTGGGTTTGCAGATGTTGGTTTGAGCCGAGTAAATTCTCATACATCTATTTGCAAAGGTTCTGCAGTTCTAAGTCTACACAATCTGTGATCTGTAGGTATTTACAATATTATTTTGAGAAATTAACATATTGTACATATTTTTTAGTAAAGAGAATAGAAAGTATATACATCATGGAGCAATCCACGATGCATGCCCCGCTACAGAAACAAAAAGGAAGAAAAAGAATAAAGAAGCCCAGACATCAAGGTGTATACCTCAAGGATCGAGAATTTCTTCCTCTTGAATTTTCACATTGTCTCCGAATCATCTGGCTTTTGCATCTCCATCAAGGTTAACCATCAAATCTGTATAGATGCCAATTGGATATTAGAATTCCCAAGCCCCGTCTCTCTCTCTCTCTCTAAAATTTAAGCTAAAAAATTTTGAGACCTCTCGTAAAACATCGCTCAAGTAGATTGGTTGGTAAGAATTTGGTTTCTCAGTTGACAAGTGTTTTGACATGTTCTAGATCGTTGGCGAAGAAAAGCTATTTGAGGGTCTGAATTAATTAATAATTTTCATCAAGAAGTCCTCTATTGGATTGGATGTGATACTCTGTTTTTTCTATAATTTTTGAAAGATATCATATATCAATTAAATACCCTCAAATGCATCCTTATTTTGCTTTTAAATATATCTTGTGCCGACTTTTTTGTATATTGGCTGGTGAATAAGGTATAAAGTGGGCGTGCCGTGCTGGTTCACGGGTTACTACGAGCCGTGCCGTCCTTCCTGGTGGAAATTTTGGTGGTCGGTTTGAGCTGTGAGCGGGCCCGTGCCATGAGCCGTGCCAGCATTCGGGCCTGAGCCAGGCTAGGCTGGGCTGCAGGCTGTGCCGTGGGCTTGGACCGTGCTGGGCTAAGCCACAGGACGGGCTTGGGCCTAGGCTGAACCGGGCTATACTATTTTTTTTTATTTTTATTTTTATTTTGAAAATTTTGATTTCTTTTCTAAGTAAAATTGTAAAACTAAAGTATTTAGCTTTCCTATGAACTTTGGGAATTAGGAACTATTTAAAAATTTAAGAAATGAGAAATCTAAGTTATTTAATACATAAATGAAAAAAAAATACTTAACCAAATTGAAATAAGAATTATGGAATAACAAATTGGAAGAAGAATAGGAATTTTATTTCATTTAAATTTGAATGGTACAAATTAATGAATTAGAAATACAATGATTGGATCATTGCATACTTGGATGAATGAAATATAAAAATGGAATAAATTAGTAAAATATAAAAAATACATTATGGTTATAAATTGAAAATACAAAATTACATTGTTAAAAAAATTAAAAAAATATATCAAATAAATTAAATAAAATTTAAAAATTTAACAATAATTTGAAAAAATGAAAATTTCTACAAGTAGTCAAGTTCATGAATCATCATTCATGACTTTCATCATCTACTTCGGGTGAAATGTATGGTGTTGTATCATGCCCTCCCTTGTCTTGTAATCTATCTTCTGCATCTAGCCAATCCTTGAAGCAGATGCACATCTCTATGCTCTCATCGTTCATGGAGCTTCTTTTGTCATCTAGCACCCTAGTACCTACAGTAAAACAAGACTCCGATTAAACTATAGACACCAGAGGGATTGGTAGATCACGTGCCATGGCCGCAAGAACTAGATAATTTTTTGAGTGTTCACTCCACCAGGCTAAGATATCAAAATTATTTGATACTTCACCTAAATTAGAAAAATTTGCTTGCAAATAAAAATTAAGTTCAGTAAATGAACTTGTTGTAGAACTACCATATTTCTGCCTTCTACAGATTAAATAAAAAAGCTTTTCTCTTGTACTACTGGTCTCAAAGTCAGAAGGAGAAGAAGAAGAAGATGAACAAGTTGTATGAATATTTCCTACAACTCCAGATTCATACAAATTGTACATTTCAAATAATAAATTATTAATTTCTTCTTTTTTATTTCCTATATCAATATTCATATTTTCATAATATGTTTCAAGTAAAATATCTAAATCATCTTTCCCAATCCTATGGTCTAATATTGTAGCTAAACAATAAAGGG